ACTAGATATCTGCACAATCCCTCACGATAACCGGTGCAAGTTACTGTACTCGTACTAGTATTGGTATGCTAAGGATATGTGTTATATCATATGGTACAGTACTCGTACTCGTACGGTACAGTACCTGTACGGTTACTTCTCCTCCCCAATCACGGAATGTCTCATTCTTTCTTCTTCTTCCCCATAGGAATCCAACATTCAAGTATGTATCACTCCGTAAATGTCGGATGGAATCAAGGTACTTGTACTGCAATAGTACCGTTCATCCCTCTCCCCCTTCTAAAAAAAGAAAGAAAGAAAGAAAGAAAGAAAGAAAGAAAGAAAGGTGTAAGTTTCCCTTCCCTCCCCCTTTCCCCGCAATTTCGTCCACGAGGCGATATCATACAATATTGTATCATACCGCCACCCGCCAATCCGTCGAATCCAAAGTTACGATAGCTGTACTGTACCGCACCGAACTAGACTACGGTGCGCGTCGCTGCGCTGTCAACCGGGTTTGGCCACGAACGGGTGAAGCGGAATGCAAAGTACAGTAGGCGGTAGGATTGCCATACCGGTCAGTAAAGTTAGTAGACAGCAGAAGTCTACCGTACCGGTAAGCACATTGGAGGCGAGTTTCTCGTTTGAGCAGTTGATGGGGTACCCTTGGCATACCTGTACTTCCCCACCCCCCTCTCCCCCCAATGTGCGAAAAAGACGATAATGAATATAATATTACCATAGTGCATGCATAACCTGGGATAAAAATAATGAATCAAGTTCCCGGAAACCCCCCCCCCCGCCCCAACATCCGTTTTCGCCCCCCCCCCGCCTTTGGCTTAAGTACCGTTGCCGCTAGATGCGGTTGCTACGTAGTTTAATGGGGCAAGAGAGTGTGTATCAAGTTATGATATTATAACAAAAGCTGTCCTCCGAGGGATGGAACGGGGTGGATGGGGCTCACTTACTGACTACGGACTACGGGCGGGCGGGTTCCGCGCGTGATCAGATATTACTTGGGAATGCGGCAGCGGTATGATGGCTTTCACGATATCTCGGCTGTTTATTATGGATACTGCAAGTCACTTGGTATGATATCATGCGGGTCGTCGGGTGGAGGACGATTTGTGAGAGAGAGCGGGGAACAAAGTCGCTATTGTCACTTTTGTACTCGTGTTCTTGTGGGTATGATTACGGAATTTGTTATTCGGGCAGACTGGGGGGGTTGCTCTGCCGCCGGCGCTAGTTTGGCTGGCTGGCTGGCTGGCTGACGAGCAGGAAGAAGGAAGAAAGGACGGTACTTGTATTCCCTTTCGTCGGTAGATAATATGATAGAGGACCCTGACTGAAGTTTGAAAAGAAAGAAAAAAAGAAAGAAAAAAAAAGTGTGTGGAAGTATCGTGAGATGGCATGGGGGGTCATTACCAGTGAGTGTGGGTGGTGTGGGGGAGGTGCAGATGAGGATGGGGGGGCATTTCGGATGATGAGATCGCGAGAAACGACCCAAAATCTGCTTTCCCCCGCATAGGCTTTCGCATAGGACGGTAATTTTACGGGGTCCTCCGGGTTTGGGAATAGGTTAGTTTCCTGATGGTGGGAGCCCTGTTTTTTTCTCTCTTCTCGCACTTGCGGTTGGAGAAGAGGTGCGGTGCGGTCAGATGGATCCCCAGGATTTTTCAAAATTGCTGTTGCAGATTTGGGAATTTGCCGGCCATTTATTGTGCAGCTACTATCATACCGGTAGGCGCTTGTGCGATAGAAATGGAGCGAGGTTAGCCGAAGCTATGCAGAGCAGGAGACAGAGCAGAGAGTTTGTGCCCGCTGAAGTGAGGTAAAGTGTTTACTCTTCCGAGCTTCTGGCATTTCTTTCAGCTCGTTTCACTTCGTCCGAGCTTTGCTTGCGTGGGCCCGCTTCAACTGCGATATCAGGCCCACAGCACAGCGCCTACTACTGTAGAGTACAGCTGTTTTGTAGGCTGGCAAAAACACCGATTGACCGATTGCGGCACGATAGTTTGCCTGCCTCCCCGCCGGTTGCTTTGTTTCCAAAAGGCTGAAGAGGAAGAAGGAAAGAAAAGAAGAAAAAAAATCCGTCACGAGGACACAAATCCTACCGTGATTGCGCATGTTTGTGATTGATTCCTGATGCTTTACTTTCACCATGGATGTTTCCCCCCCCCTCGCCCCAGTTTTCCCCCGCTCTCTGACGTCGTTGTGGATCCGAAAGAAGAAGGAACCATATGCAGGGACTCTATTAAAGGAGGGAATTAGAGACGAGCGAGAAATCAGAAAAATGAAGTGTGTGGGGGGATCTTTTTTTTCCGCCGTAGAAAAAAACATAATGTGTGAGTGTGGTGCTTTCTGGTCTGCGCCCCGCAATGTTCCTGACAGGGGTTTGTTTTTTTCTTCTTCCTTTTTTTCCTCCCCGATTGTTGTGTGTGTGTGTGGAAACAACTGTGGAAATGGTTTTGCTTGCGCTTTTTGCCAGGAAGTTGGATCCTGGGGAGAAGGTCTCTGGTTAAGGCAGGGACTTGGAGATCATGGGCATTGGGGTGATGGATCATGGATGGGGGAATGGATGGTTGAGCTTTATTTTTGTGTGAGCAGCGCCGGCAGCACGGAATTGTCTCCGCCTAGAAACATGATTTCCTACTGTGTACTGTATGATATGATACCCGTACAGGGTTCGGCGGAAAGTTATGGAACGGTTATTCAAGGTTAACTAGGCAATAGATCCTTGCTTGTCTAGGTTAACGGTACTCGAGTACTCGTACCTACTCTTGCGCTAGTACAAGTACAGTATTTCACTGTCACTTAACTGTACGAGTATTTGAGTCGTTTCCCCAAACCTTTTGACCAGGGTTTGGGGCAAGTTTACATTGTGTCTGGAAGAAAGTATTGTACGAGTATCATCCTAGCACTCCGCTCCTTCAGTGGGAGGGAGAAGAGGCAAGGTTCGAGGAACATAAGATGTTATTACTGGTACGACAAACGGGCACTAGTTAAATTTATCCTGACGGTAGTCCAGGGTCCCTTTTGCTTAAGTAACTCTCCGGCTTACCCCCATACAGCCCGCAGATATGATAAACTCCAGGTACATCATGGTACAGCACGGCACCATCCGGTAATACCTCATCCATCTATCCGTGCATCCAGGAGCGGGCTCTTCTGTTTCCTCCCCTTCTTCTGTACCCCACCACCTCTTGGCACCTGGGAAAATAGGCATACTCGTACAGCGCTTGTAAAACTACTCATCAGTTCCTACGGTAATGTATCTGGAGGTATCCTCTCGGAAAAGAGACTGCATGAGGATATATATGTGGAACCTGGCCACCACCAACCAACCACCAGTACCACCGTAGTGCATCCTGTACTGTACCTGTAGAGTACTGTACGAGTACGTGCGCCCTACCTGCCTACCCCACTAACCACTCACACCGTATATAAATAATACGGCAAGTACTGCACAGTACCGTACAATCACGGTGCCAGGGGATACCACAGCAAACAGCGTGCATATGCCTTCTCTCGCCGTTCGAGTAATAGTGCCAAAGGTGGACTAGATTGGAATCTATCGCTTTGCTCGTTACCCGAACAAAGGAATTTCGAGGAAGCCGAATTGAGCACTGACGCTGACCGCAAAAGCAAGCAAGCAAGGGCCCGTGCTTGCTCGTTAGCACTCTCTGGCTGTCGGCAACAAGTACTCGTACGTTTTGACGGATGGCTGGATAGTTTGACGGGTGCGTGGATGTGCGGTTGCCGTACGGACGTGTGTATGGATGGGAGCGCCTGGCCGGGCGGACAAGCGAAGAGTAGGCCAGGGCTAGTTGTTCATCATTAGGAAGCGAGTGAGTGCTGTGCTGTATCATGGTCTGGTTAGTGATGAGACAGCAGAAGGCCATCGTGTATTCCCTCCCAATGCCCGAGTTCTCAATAGTTTTCTCTCCTGTTTTGTGTGTCCGTGGTTTCCATCCAATCAGATTGGAACGTGAATTACAGGAAGCTAACTGCGGCTATCCCCTCGTCGGAGTGAGAGACCCCGTTTGTATAGAAATTATGGGCCCCACGATACTTTCCCTGTCGATGCCTCCCACCATAACTGACATTAGGTTATGATACACCGGGCGATGTACTCGTAACCACACCCGTGCATAGGTTACATGGGAGTCACGTACCGGTGCGTACAGCACGATACCGTACATGCGATAAACCTCACCTCACCGTCTGACGACATTGTCCATTATCACTACTACCCGTTTGGTTTCGTTTCCGTTTCGGCGGAATTTACGACCTGTCGGTTCCGAAAGAAAGAATTTCGGGCAGGGCTTTTTCCTCCCTTTCCCAAAGAAAGGACGTAGGCAGCCAGAGGGAAAAGGGAGAAAAAAGAAAGAAACAGGGCTCTTTTGTCAATCAATCGGCGGAGATCGAAGGGGAATCGCGAAATCGACCAACCAGGAGCAATTCAGAGCAGGGCAAATAAAAATTCGAAGCCACGAAGGGAAAGGGCAAGTAGGGAAAGGGAAGAAAAGGGAAAACAACCAAAAAGGAAAAAGGAGAAAAGAAAAAAGAAAAGGTTAGGGAGGAAGGCTGGCAGCGTAAACGGTTGATGAGTTTCGTATGGGTGAAGCTTGGCTAGCTGGGTAGGGGTGTAAGTTCGTTCGTTCACTCATTCACACTTCATTCACACACCGCCATGTTTTTTTTATTGTTTTGGGGAGGAATTCCCAGAAGGACGGCGCCTCCGATTCACGGCTGACACAAATTCCCTCTGCAATAGAATTGCCGTTGATCGGGATGGGTGACGAACTTGGGGGGGGGGTTTGTTTTCTTTCATTTTTTTTTTAGCTCCTTTTAATTCCTAGACAGTGAAGTTGTCATGGTATCATAGCGTGTTGTAGCTTTTCCGTGTCTCTCTGCTAGTCACAGCAAGGGAGGCAGGAGGACATTCTTCTCCATCATTATATTTCCGAGGTTCCCCTTCTTTCCCCTTCCTTTTTATCCCCCCCCCTTCCAACTCTCCCCCCACACACTCCCGTACCAATACTGCCCTTTTCACCGCTTTACAATATATACGTGGGAAGCTCCTTGTTACCTTCTTCTCCATATATCTTTATTATAAGCAACTGTTCCTCCTCAAACATTTCTCATTCTCATATTATATATACTCTATTCCACTTTTTTTTGAACGTTTGGATCTTCCATCATACCATCCGTCGAGAAAGAGAGAGGGAAAGGTGACTGCTTGCAGCTGTTCTGTTCATACAAGAGCATAATAACTCGAGTTCCTGGAACTATATTTTCCTGTACACCCCTTACCACCGACAACCCTTACGATTCGCCTCAGTTTTGAATTGGACTTATTACACACCCCAACCAGGGTTTCCCTCTTTACAGACATCGGGGGCGCCACAAGACATTTGTTAGCACCCGGCATATTTGCCAGCATCGACTATACAATACCACGATAGAAAAGGAGAAAGCGAAGGATAGATTGGGCATAGAAATCGGAAGGGGAGTTATATAATTGAGGCTTTTGGGGGCTAGAGATTGATTGATTGTCTGATTGATTGATTTTTTCCTATTCGAAGCAATTGCAATTGGGGGGAGAGAGAGAATTGGCAGATTGGATCGAGAGGGAAGAGATAGTGAGTGAGAGAGAGGGAGAGAGAGGGAGAGGAAAAGAAAAGTAGGATTGGAAAGGTTGAACACAGCATTGCATTCGCATTCGCATTCTGTTTTCCAACATCTTTCTTTAGCTTCATTCTCTTGGGGCGCCCTATTTCCATTTCATTTTCCTGTTAAGCAGCAGCAGCAGCAGCAAGCTAGCAAAGCAAGAAAAACCAAAGCAGAAAGCAAGAGGCAGCAGCAGCAGCCTAGCGCAGAAACAAGACTCACGCATCTCCGTCATTCACAAGGAGTTGCTGCAACTGAGCAGGCAACCCTTTTTACCGCTCCAACCCACCCACACACCTCATCCCACTCACAATCCCAACCTCGTCCACACACACCAAATAAATACTCTGGGAAAAAACTTACGCTTCTCGCCGGCACCCACCAGCACGAGCACCAGCACCACCCCACCTTTCAGAAGGCACACCACACGCTCACACACGCACCAGAACGCAGCGCTGACAACGCTGCCTCTCCGCTGCCGCTCGGCACAGACCCTCCAATCCATCCTCGTGGCGACCACCGACAATCTCCTCTACCAGCACGCAAATCATGCGGAAGCCCTGCTATCGAAACTCCGCATTTCGACTCTGGGCGCAAGCACCTTCGAGCCGACTCCCTATAACCCCCGCCCGCCGTCAGACATGACCTCTCCTTTCGCCTCTCCTCCTCCACCCTACACCCCCGAGCACCCGCATGTGATACTTGACCACGAAAAGATACCACGAGAAGGCGCACTTCCACCTCCACATCCTCTTGTTGATCCCGCTGGGCACGCTGCCGCGAACACGCATTCTGTAAACATGTCTTGTACGAAACCTTTGGGTCTACGCGCCGATGGCAAGGACATTTTCCACCTACCCCCGAGTACCGCCCTCACACTGCTCTCGAGGAGCATCGAATTGCTGGTCTCCATAACCGGTGACGTCCCGCCTACCCCACCTACCACCGCCCCTTCCACCCCCGATATGGAGGAGGAACTGCATCCCACGGCGAGCGACGACCGTCGTGATGGTGCTGGCTTCTGTTTTGGCAATGCGGTGCAGGATGTTCTTGACGGAGTCGTTTTGAAACACAAGAGGGACGAATTCAGCGATGACGACGACATTTCAGACGGCGGCGAGGAAATGAAGATAATAGGGGTTGGTGCAAAAGGGGCTTTTCAGAATGGCGCGATCACACGGAAGTTCTGGTCCAAGGCTGCTCCGGGCATTTCCATTGAAGATTATCTCTTCCGGTTGGTTTTTTCCTCACCATTTCACCATTCCCTGTCCGGTTCTGAACCCGAAGAAAAAGGGATAATATGGAGACTAACTGGTTCGCTTCATTTAGAATACACCGTTTCTGCCCTTTGAGCACGGCGGTCTACCTCGCAGCCTCGGTCTACCTTCACCGCCTCGCTGTCACGGAGCGAATAATCTCCATAACCCGACTTAATGTTCACCGTCTGCTGCTAGCCGCCCTCCGTGTCGCCAGCAAAGGTCTAGAAGATCTGAGCCATCCCCACAAAAGATTCGCAAAAGTAGGAGGATTAACCGAACTAGAGCTTAGTAGGCTCGAAGTCAGTGAGTTTGACCCACTTGTCCCCCCTTTTTTTCGGGAATTTTCATTTTTTACTCTACTTTTCTTGTCTATGTGCGGGGCAGCATGTGTTAATATGCGGATCTTCAATTTCTCAATAGGTTTCTGCTTCCTCATGAATTTCGACCTAAAAGTCGACAAAGCCGCTCTGGAGAAGCACATGGAGTCACTGCGGGAAACGGTGAATCGCCAGGCTTCGCTTGGCACCTCCGGACTTGTCCTTCCAGTCACGCCGCCGAAGGAGTCATCCCTGGCTGGCATGGGGAAAATCAAGATGATGGTTGTTAAACCTGTCATGCTTGATGTATAAAAAAGGGAAAGATTATCAAAAAAAAAAAACACCACAAAAACCGAAAAAAAATTCTTTTCTTTCCTTTTTCCCCTTTTAATTTGTTAACGAGCGGGAGTTATTTTCTTCCTTCCTTGCGTTTTTTTTTTTCGTGTTTGGCATATTCAAGGCAGCATATACCCAACCTGACTAACTAACCATTACCCCCCTTACCTAATCCAACCTCACTCCTACATTCTTCTTCTCCCGTCCTAAGATCTGTCCATCCATCTATCTACCCATCATCCCAATCCATTTCCTCCCACCAAATCATTATACTGTAGTTGTACGAACCTCTTTTCCATCTTTCTTATTTTCATTCATCATTTATTCATCATCATCATCATCATCATCATCATCATAGGATCCGGGTATCAATTTCTTCTTTCATTTGTCGGTCGGGGTCATCAGGTTGGGATCTTTTCTTCTTTTTTTGTGTATCTATCCACCTAACGGCTATCATCATATCATATCATACTTTTGACTTCTTCTCCTTGGATCGAATTGTGTGGGAAGTAGCGTACGCTCCGCGGTTCGAAAGGGGGTCATTGGTTACAGTTTGGAATCTCAGAGTATGAATGAATATTAGTCTATCACCGGTAGCCCAGTTGAGGGAGAGAAAGAGCAAAGTCCGATCTTGGTGAATAATAATATTATATTGTTTATCGTTTGTCCATCACTTTTTTTCTTTTTTTCTTTTCCCCCCTCTATCTAACCCCGTTTTTGTTTATTCTATCTTGTTTGTTTGTTTCGTGAAACGGCGAACAAACGGCATACTTGGTTGCGCAGCCTCCCCTTCCTCGATCTTAGATGGGCCCTGGTCGGTTGGCTGGTCGTTTAACCACACACATCCGTAGCACACACAACCTTGTATTCCTACCAACGCTCGACCGGTAAAAGTGAGTATCACAGACCACAAACCGATAAGTTTGGAAAGTATGGAATATTAGTTGAACTTGAGAGGAAAAAGTGGGTATATAACGGAGTAGAACCGATACCGCCTCTACGTACAGTACAGTACGATAGCATTTGAGCGCAGCGCTACTGGTAAGGTACTGTAGACATGAGCGTTCTGTGCTGGTTATGTTTAAGGGATCTTACTCGATGTAGTTTCGAAACCGAGTATTTTTTTTTCTTTTTTCTCGTATGATACGGTAGGTGACTTTGTTTCTGTTTCTGTTTCACTGGACTTGAAGAGTTCTGTGGTAGTTATCGTTAACTGGCCTTTTGGTCTTGTTCATGTGCTGTGCTCGCCGCCAAAATTATGGGATGGCAGAGTAATGGTGATTATGAATTAACTGTTTTTTGTGTGTGCGCCAAGTTTGATAGAATAGGCAAGGTGAACTGGAAATTGGATTTTTGCAAACTTTTTTAGCTTTGGGGATCCCCTAGTCCGTAAGGTACTTTGGTCTAGGGTGGTTATGGTTTTTGTTACTGTACTGGTACCGTACTGCATGGTATCATACCTTTTTTTTTTTTTTTTTTTAGACACTTGTACTATAATATACTATTGTATTGTATGACATGGTGGGTATGGAGTGCTGGGCGACGTGTGTTATAGATACCGGTAGTTGGATACAGTCGTGATGGTGACTTCTAGATGTTGTCGTGGTTTACCATGTGAATGCATACCCCTATCTATCTGTCTGTTTGCCTCGTACTTGGCGTGGCGTGGATCGGTTTGGTTTGGCCAAGGTATTATATAGATAGGGATAGTTACGAGAGCATGAGAGCTCTCCTCTCCTCTCCTCTCCTATCCTCTCCTATCCGATTCAATACCCAGCCGGCACGCTATTCCCTCCTTCCCTTCCCTCCCGTAAACTCATGTTCGCTCCTCCATCCTTCATCCTCCGCTCGTCACTCGTACTGTATCTGCCGCCATGCATCCCATCGTCTCTCCTAATCCGTCCGATTCCTTTTCGTAACCTTTGGGGAAGGGGGGAAAAAGGCGCCCATTATTTCATACTCAATTTCTGTGTTGGGTTCTTAGAGTGTTTCGCTTTTTCTTCACCCTAGTTTAGAACATCGGTATGTATGAAGACCGTTGCACCCAATTTGGGAAGAGTCCCACAAGAGCAGCGAGATGGAGTATATGCCGTATGCGGTGTATGCACTATTGTGTGGGTGGGTGCGTGGGTGGGTGTGCGTGGGTGACCAGTTTCTTTAATTTTCAGTCTGCAATGTGGGATGTGATGAACAAAGGTATGCTAACTTCAGGAGAGGACAGAAGGCCAGTGTTATTTTCTGACTTATTTAATTGTTTTGGTTGGTGAGTTAGAATCGGGGGGGGTGGACAACCTCAGTTTGTGTATATATCGCTGCCCTTGATCTTGGGGTTTGCGCTGAGATCTGGCAGCTGTTGCGTTTGTGTGGTGGTACTGGGGGCTTGTTTTTAAATTGATTGTTTACCCTGGAACAAGTACGGGTAAAATGGATGAGATGAGGGAGGGGCAGGAGGGGTAGAGGTTGGGTTGATTTAACGGTAACGAATCATCGGCGGGGATAAATTGGGTGTGTGGGTGTGTGATGGTGTGAGGTTGAGCGTTTCTCAAAACCATTCGTGCTACTTGATATATCATCTCACGCCATTTGCCCACAGCTGATTCGGTTATCAAGCGTGTGGTGGGAGAAAGATGATAGGGGAGCCGCTTACCTGTACCAATATCTGATGGAGGATGTCATAGAGGAGGAGAGAGGGGAAATAATGATGAAAAAGTAAAGGTTGATCTTGAATTGATATCAGAATTCTGTAGAAAAGGTATGATAATGAAAAAACGTGTGCCGCTGAGAATGGAGTAGAGATTGGAGGATTGTATTGGAACACATCGCTTGGATAGCTGGACATTGCTTTTTGGTCAGATATCCCGTAGCGTCCTGTCAGTTTCATTCTTGCGGTTATCACTGGGCTGATAAGCTTCACGCTTGGTGCTGCTTCGCCCAATCCTGTTCCACTATACCCGTATGTGCCCCGTATCCCCCACGGCCGCCCCAGAGCCGCAGGAATAAGGAAACAAAAGAGCACAGGCCAACTGGAACAAGGCAAGTCAAAATCCATCCGGGGAGGGGAGTGAGTGTGGGTGACAGACGGGGGGGAGGGGGAAACTAGAAGATTGGAGGCGTCTTCTCGTCCCGTACGGTACTTGTACAGTACGGGTGTTACCGCTTCGAGTAGTTCTCTAAATTCCCTTAAGGTAAGGGTCCCCATGGAAGTGGTAGGGGCAGGGGGTGAGAGGGCATTCCGGTCTCACCCTCGCCTCGTACACCGGAAAAACTCCTGGCGGAAGTTGACGGGCTGTGGGGGGATTGGCTTGTTATTTTGTTTTTGTTTTTGAAGATCGGGCGATGAACTATAGATCGATCCGATGGGGGGGCCCCTGGGACGTGGGTGGGGTTTCCATTCCATGCGAGGTTTGGGGTGCGAAACTGAGGAGATAACAGCTTCTGCAAGTGTTTGCAGAAGGCTGTCATCTTTTTTTTGTTGCATTGGGGGGGGGGGGTGGGCAAGGAGGATTGTAAATAGGGAGGGGAGTGGGCGACCGGCAGTTGGGCTATCTGATGGTGTGCTCGTTTTTTTTCTTGAATTTGGATAAATAAATTGATGGAGGGTGGGGTGGCGAGCGAGATGAGGTGAAGGATGTTAGACCTTGAACGAGCAACATGAGGCTCAACGTTAAGTTTGTGTCGTGGGCAAAAATGTTCGCCTAACCCCAGAATGAAAACCCCTTACCCTGGGATATAGATGGTCCAGGGTATGGCGGCGGACTCCACCTTGGAGGGGGAAGAAGGCCAGGCGAAGTAGGGAATATCAATCCAGTAGGTAGTATACAACAGCATCTGAAAGGTGGAAGATGTAGGAAACATGGCCTTACTTAAATACATCGCCCTCCCTACGGGGGGGAGCACCTACCTCTAGACTATTACTGGTCCTATCGTATGAAGAGATGAGTCGGTCGGTCAGTCGAACCCCACCTCACCCGAACAACCCCGCTACTATGCCCCCCCCCTCCGATCTCGAGATACTGATATTAACACAATCTAATCCGCTGTTTGTGCTATCTGTGCAGTGCCGGTATCTTCAAGGCGAGAAAGGCTTATCAGACCCCAAGGTGAGCATTTTTGGAGAATGACAAGCTAACTCCACCTTAACGAGGAATAGGGAGCAGTACTTTGAATGTGTGATTACTTCTGACTCATCGCTCAACCACCAGCTTCTTGTGAAACCATCCTACATACGTGCTTTCGGGCCTTCGCATGTTTGGCAATATAGAGTCTTCCAAACAAGTTCGGCCCCTTGGATTCGGAACCAGGGGATCCGCTTGCTTGCGACTGCACCGGGGGAGCAACAAAGTGATTGCAGCCACCACTGGCCTCTTGGTTCATAAGCGCTTCCATCAGATGGGCCGTTTTGGTCTGGTAATGGTGTTGAAGACGCCTACTCGAGTAGGGGCTGGGCAGCTTAGGCCGGCATTGGGGTTAGAAACTACTAGATAGTAAGAGGGTGTGGAGAATCTTGTATGACACCCTCCCGCCAGGATTATGCGTGATTCAAGATGGCGCCCCCGAGAGATTCTACAAATGCATTCGAGTACAGTAATTGTGGCCAATCATTCCCCCCCTTTAGCTCCCGATCCCAGGACCTAGAGCGCTGGTACGGCTGCGAATAACCTTCACTTGGCATCGGTCTTGAACTGTATCCATGAACCCTAACCCTTGGTCAATAGGACGCACGCCAAACATCATATCATACCGGTGTTCAGGTCCTGAGTTTGTCAGGGAAAATGCAGGGCACTGCCACACCCCCCAGGTTCTCTCGAAATCTTCGGAATAGATGCAAGACGATAATGGTGTTTACAGAGTTATGTCCGAGCCAGTCCTGCGGATCGACCCGAGTGAACACGTGAGTGTGTGGCTGGACTCTGGGGGGGATACTTGTAACCAAAGGCCCCTCCCGCCAACTCTGCGGATATGTGTCTCCCCGCGCATAAAGTTAATGGATACCTCAATTTCTATAACTTCTCCTTCAATATCAATCCGGCAGGGCAATGCATTCAAGATCGACGGATGGCATTTAGCAATACGATCCTTTCATTATCTAACTTGCTGCTTCTGCTATTACCCAAGTGTTCCTATTCTGGGCTAGGCTTGATATTTGTCTGTCTAAGTCGCTTCATCCCCCGATTTTCTGCCCGAAACAAGATCTAACCTCATGATCTGACTCCAACATATCGGCATGTGCGCCACTACGTAGCGGCTGCCGCATGGAATCAACTGCTAGGTTACACGGCCTAAAATTCTCCATCACCTTACGTTCCCCAGAGTCCTCTCCCAGGAACCTCGGTGCGCCCGGAGCTTAGTTTCCCATCACTCCAAGTGCTACCTAGCGACTTCATCTGCTCAACGGTTCCCGGCGAACCGGTATTCATTACACCCACTGACTTCTCCACTTCCCGACCCTATCCACACGGATACATAAAACCCATCACACCTTTACCACACCGATACCGGTAAGTCCAGCCGTGTAGTATGCTCATCCAGTGCAATATCTTACGGCATTCCTTTCAATGGATCTTCCTAGATTGTTGGTATGGGGTATTCCCGCTAGTTTTGGTTTTTTTTTGGGGGGTTGCCGCGCCGGAGAGCTGCATTGTGCATTCCGGGTATCCAACGCCTGGTGTTGACAAATTGGAAAGAAGGCACGATCTGCGTAAAGAGAGGCGTAGAGTGAATTTTGGGACCTTTTGGTTCTTTGATTGGGCGCATGAGACAGCTGGCGGGATTGGGGAGGGGGAGGACTAGAGGCAATGATTGTAGCAATGGCTGTTACAGTAGGGTTATACCTGTACGTATCTGTGTATGTTAGATCTACGAATAGTATCGAATAGTCTCGAGTATGGAGATGTGGTGTGGTGTATAATGTCACTCTACACGCCCAGTAAGCGTCGATTTAGTTTTTAGTTAGGAACTTACAGCATGCTGTGTTTATTGTATTGTATTTATGATTTGATATACGAGTACCGGTATCTGGGGGGTGCTTGTTTACTTTCCAGACAAACCTTCCAGAGGTATGATATGATAAGAGCAAAACCCCGGACCAGAGGTTAATCTTGACTCTAATCAGCAAAATCACCCGCCAATCATTGGTCTTCTTATCTGATGAATCAGGGGTTCCAGTATGATAGAGAAGCTCCCCCTTTCTTGGCAACGAGTTCATCAAACCTCCTCGACCATCACAACTTCCAGGCTCCAATTCCACAGGATCGTCTTGTATGGCATTGCTCTCGCTTTAAGCTCACCTTCGCCGACACTCCCCAGATCACCGCTTTGCGCAGAACAAAATGCAGTCCCCGGCTTCCCTCTTCAGCCTCACACTCCTTTCTCTCCTTGCTTCATCCTTAGCGGCCCCCAATCCAAACCCGGCACCCGCTATCGACCCCGTAATATCTGCCTCAATGGCCATCCCATACACCCTTCAGATAGGCCCAACCCGTTACGCTCCCATGCAAACACAGCCCGGAAAGAGTATCACAGCGACTGAAACGAAGATGCAGTATCCTACAAGTGCCTATACAATCTTTACCACTAAGGGCCCGGCACCGAATATTCAGACAACGATAACTCAGGGGTGGGATTACACGCTCAGTAGCAAGATCAACACGGTAGGCCTTTATCTGATTCTCGACGATAATAGATTGGGATGTTGAATTGCGCTAACATTTTTTCGGGGGATTTTTAGGCAGCGCCGCAACCGAGGCCGGAGGAGAACATGCAAAGGTTTTTGCAGAGGTGGAGGGATTAAAGATGTTTTGGTTATTGCGACGACGGTAGGGTGGGGGTTTGAGGTACTTGGGTAAATAAAAGAATGGCAATGTTTCCTTTGGTTTTCGTCCGTTTAGTTTCCTACTGGCGTCTGTATAATACAGGGTACCTTGTCTTTCTTCACTCTCTTTTCCTTTCGTTAGTTTAGAATTCTGGCAGCTTGCCGATTGCCTAATACATCAAGATATACAAATTTACGCACTTGATGGTTTGCCTTGGGACAAAAGCGTGATAAATACATCATGAGAACTAACTTAGCATTATTATTAATCTTGGGGCCGGCGTGAGACGGTTACTTACGGCGTTCTCTAATCGGAGGATCACTTAGTCTAGCTTCCGGGCTGTGGATTTGGTCCGACCTCTCGACTCCCCCCACTTGAATACCGGTAGTTTGATCTTCCCTCGCAGCTCATCTCTATCCCTTCTTCACGCAACAGCAGCGGGGCAAACACCGCAACTTTGACGATACGCAGAAATGACCTCGGACTCGACTGTTGATAAAATACTGGCCGGGAAATACCCTGCTAAGCAACACGCGGAGAACGTTGTAGAGCGTCTTCTCCATGTTCACCCCGACCTTACGGACGGGGTCATCTATCTCGAATCTCAGAGGTCAAAACTTTATGAGAACTCTGATCAGGAAGGTATTTAGCTCCGGCTCCCCTATTTGCTCTATTTCGCCAGCGGTTCAATCTGATGCAACGCACCAGTTCCCTTCCGCCAACGCCGTTACTTTTATTACCTCTCTGGCTGCGACCTCGCAGATTCCTACCTCACCTATTCCATTCGCGATCGGAAGCTCACGCTCTTCATCCCACCCATCGACCCTGCTTCAGTACTCTGGTCCGGACTTCCGCTCTCTAACTCGGAGGCACTAGAGAAATACGACGTGGATGAAGTCCTTCCGACCTCAGCTACGGCCCTACCAACCACATCCTACTCTAGCCTAATGTTTGTAATCGAGAGCCAAACTTCGCGTACCTTTCACCTCCAAAACACCGAGAGCTTGGAGCCAGCTATCGAGCGCGCGCGCGCAATCAAAGACGAATACGAGGTAGCCCTGATCAAGAAAGCGAACCGAATAAGTGCACTCGCACACCACTCCTGCCTTCGCGCAATCAAGTCTGCCGGAAACGAACGCGAGATAGAAGCAGTCTTCACGAAGGAGTGCATCGCAAACGGTGCGCCAAAGCAGGCGTATTCCGGAATCTTTGGCAGCGGCAGGTCCGCGAGCACCCTGCACTATGTGCACAATAACCAACCACTTGCCGGGAAACTGAACTTGCTATTGGACGCTGGGGCAGAGTACAACAACTACGCTTCAGACATCACTAGGACGTTCCCGATATCCGGGCAGTTTACCAAGGAGAGCAGAGAAGTCTACGACATCGTACTCGATATGCAGAAGCAGTGTCTCGCCGCTTCCAAGGCGGGCGCCGTCTGGGACGACATCCATATCCTCGCGCACAAAGTAGCAATCCAGGGTCTTCTCAAGATCGGTGTTCTTAGGAATGGCAGTGTGGACGAGATACTGTCCAATAGGACCAGCACTGCTTTCCTCCCGCATGGGTTGGGGCACTATCTTGGTATGGATACCCATGATTGCGGCGGGAACCCAAATTACGCGGACCCCGACCCCATGTTCAAATATTTGCGTAAGCGCGGGCCACTTCCTGCCGGTGCGGTTATCACCGTAGAGCCCGGGATTTACTTTTGCGAATTCATTATCAAGCCGTACCTTGAGGATGAGAAACATGCCAAGTATATTGACAAGGACGTTCTGAATAGATATTGGGATGTTGGAGGAGTTAGGATTGAAGGTATTTTATCCCATTGAGTATTGCATAAATTTTTGGGGGGGACTGACGGGAGGTAGATAACATCCTGATCACCGAAGGGGGATACGAGAACCTTACTAATGTGGCTAAGGAGGTTGATGATATGCTGAAGTTTATTAATGGATAGACTTGCAAGGGATATGAATAGACCCTGTACTTTTCGGTCATGTAGACAGGGATCCATTGACTGTCCCAGCATGTGAACCAGTAACCATTCCGATAGAATGCAATTCAACCCCAGCCAGACTTATCACAGTGGAAAACATAGCAGTAAGGCCAAGATACTTTCATGCATCACAAACACACTCTATCATCCCTCGAAGAGCCCTAGGCTCAGTACCCCTGACTCCTCTCCACCCGTTTATCCAGTAGCATTGTCAGACGGCAGATCCACCATTTCTACCAGAAAGGCCCACTTACGACGGCACCATTCATATCATACCCGATGGCCCACCTCAAAACGCTCCGCTCCAACCCTAATACTTGCCCCAGCAGCCCCCCTCCCGGTCACCAACCAACCTTACAAGGCAGACGGCGATGGAGACTATCCCATCTCTCAACGCCACCATCGATTCGAGTACCGTACGGAGTACAACAGTAGTCATTTCTGAGACCACCGGCGTGGGTACCGCAATTAACCCAAGCACTAAGGGTTCCCATAAGTGGGTGGACCACCGTAGTCGCTGACGGAGAGTGAGTGAGTGAGTGTGAGTGGCTCGTGAGCTGGACTTGAAAAACTCCGACCAAGTCACATCATCCGTAAGGCCGGGGTATTGTATCTGTAACTGTACTTGTACGGGTTTCGACTACGTCTTTGATCCCTTTTCCGAAAATTCTGTCGAACGTATAATATTATCATGGAAGATTGATTGGATTTGGATTTTCTCTCTCCTATGCGAAGGGAGTCTTCAGGGGGTTTTTGTATCATATAATAATCTTATCATGATGGTGGTAGCCACATTGGCTATATATATACCACTTCGTGCACTTCAGAACTGCTCGAGGAATCGAATCGAATTGAATTGAAGCATCGGAAGAGAACACAAGGGGGAAAGTGTGGATGAGAAAATTCTGCAAGTCGTGGTGGTAGTAGTAGTCTATATTGTGCGGTGTATCTCGTGCATATCCTGCGAAGCCGGATCCCGGGCGTCTGGATATGATACATTTTCCAGGATTGTCGTCATATCAAGGCAAAGACTCGATCGTGGGTTGTTCTGCTGGCCCTTTATCACACCGCGAGTGGGTATCGTATGATAGAGTGGAAGGTTTGGGAGAGGTGTTCTTTCTAATTGCTTAGAATGAAAAAAAAAAAAGTAAGAATAAGTAAGTGTCTGGATGAACGCCGTGACAATATTCAGTAAAAGTCCATGTCAGTGATATTCGAGACGTAGGGCCCTCCCTCCGTCCGAGGGGGCGCTCTGGGCGTGAATGTGATAGCATACGGTAAATGACAGTTCCCCCTCCCAAGAAAACAAAAAAAGCATCACACATCTCTACCGTGCATATACTTCTCACTCTGAAATCTGTAGAAATCCCCAGAGGGGTCCGAGGTGGTCCCCATGATGACCCCGACTGCGGTGGGGATTATCGTAGCATAGAGATGTAGAGCGGACATACATACCCACTGTTCAGCATATAAATGCATAACCCTCCCCCATCTGTGGTTCCGCTCGTGATAAACCAACACTTTGTCGAAAAGAAAAGAGAAAAGAAAAAACAAAGTAACTGGAGAATTTACGTGCTATTCTAATCACACTTAATTAATCGATTATATCGAAGGGGGGATTCAAATTTATATATTATCTGGTACCCTATGACTTGACTTGTATACTTACTACTGTGCTGTACGTAAATTTAGTAATGTAAAAATTGGGATGATTCGCAGACTGCTTATATAAACCGCTTTTCGGTGTGTCCTATTAATTAATACGGGGAATATGGCTCGTACAATATTTTCCGTCACCCAATTGAGATCGGAGAACTCGAGGGTAAGTTAGCAGCTGTTCGAGTTGGTGTCGTACTATCGTAGTAGACCAGAGCTCTTCTACACGTATCGGGGGGCCAATAGAACAGGGGGGATGGAAAACGGGGTTGAGAACTCGCTTCTTGCAAAAACTTGCTGTCATCATATCGCATACCCGTGAGTCTCACAGCGGTGGTATCGTAGAGGATGATACAAGTGCACTGGTATCATAAGATAATTATATATTTTCCTATGATAATGTCATGTGAATGAAATACTTAGCCGGCGCAAGTGGTTGAGTTAAATAGCTATGATACACCAAACAAACATCCAAACGCCATGAAGCCAAAAAAAAAAAAAAAAAAAAAGCACATCCACAATATCAAAAGTACTATATGATAGCATTCGCTCCACCCGCCCTCCCCCACGTGAAACCGACAATGCTACTACCGCCACCACTCTCAGAACGCAAGAAAACATGATTTGAAGGACCCCCACCACAAGGGGACTATCCACCGCGTTTTACTGATAAACTGCGAGTGATTCCTGGTGACCACTAAGGAAGAGTTCCCAAGGGGTTTGATATAATACTTGCACTGCGAGGTGTATTCACATTTGAAAACCCCCCAACTCATGGGAGAGCTCATTGTTCTTCCGCAATTCTTGTCCAGTCTTTTTTTTCTTGTTCATTTTAATTCCAATGTGCCCTGGCTGTCGACATTCTCTCGCTTGGCAGATCTGCTGGTGGTGGGATTGGACGGTGCGTTTCGTATTTGGGAGGTTGTCCTGTACCGGCCTGTGGTGCGAGTATCATATAGTCAGGAGTAGGGGGGATGGGTACGGGAAAGAGGTTGTGGGCAGGGGGGCTTTCTTTCTTTGGGTATGGTTTTGAACGGGATGAATCATATCGCGCACCTTTGTATTCTCTCTTATTACAAATAGGTGCTTGTTTTATAGCACGCTGCATGGGAAAGACCTCCCTCACTAGTACGATAGCATCACGATGATTGACCTTTGGATGGGGATTCACAAGTATTTATACACATACATTTAGGGAACCAGGTTCCCATGCTACACGGTTGGCTATTTTTGCAGGCGAGAACTAGTTCGGGAGCAGAGATGCTCACTACGTCGTAACCTCTTGTGGTGGGTGCTCATATGGGTGCTGTGGGGGAGCTAGGAAGTTTATAAGGAATCCCCTCAGATCTTTGCAAGGTCCCATACTCAAAGCTAAGGGCAACCGCAGGTAAAGTTTGGGGTGGATGAGGGGTGAGTGATTGCACACTCCTTCCAACTTACCACAGTACCGCACTTCCCCGCGCCGTCCCGCACTTGAGCACTAACCCATACCCGCGCGTACTCTACTCACCCCCCCCGGACTTTCCCCACCAACTCAGTTCCCGACCCTCCTCTCCCCCTTCTGCCGGCTCTCGTCAACAGCCCCTCCAATCTTCCCTTCTCCCGATCCACCCTTTCCTCCCATTCTCCATCCCCTTCTCCCTCCCCTCTAACCCCCGCCGTACTAAAATCCACCCAAACAACCCCCCTCTCGCTCCCTTCTCCCTCACCTACAACCAAATTCCTCCAGTTAATATCCCCCTGTACTACCCCCGCAGCATGGATCCTCGCCAAGCCCGTCGTCAACTCCTCCGCCCAACTACCTGCGTCCCTAGGCAACAATCGCGCTCCAGCAACATACTCCATCCACAACCCCACCACCGCCAACTCTCGAAAGTGCCGATGCATACCCGCCAGCGACTTCATCCCCTGGTTGACAGCGAGGTGGTGTTCATGTTCAGGGGTGATGTGGACGACGCCATAGATTTCCGGTACGGTAGTGCCGGTTAGACGGGAGTGTTTGAGGTAGGAGTAGGCGGCGGACTCGAGATTGTAGTAGTGGTATGGGTTTGTGGATGCAGCGGTGGTTGGGTCATCTCTGCGAGGCGCGAGGTGGAAGCGGAAGATTTTGAGAACGCTAGTAGTAGGGGTAGGGAAGGTGGAGGAAGGGGAAGTTGTGATTTTGAGGACGAAGCTGTGGCCACCGTGGTCCAGCGGGGACCAGCTGGTTATGCCTAAATCAGAGCTGATGAAGGTAGGGAGATTCGAGGGGGCAAAGGGTTCTTGATGGGGTTTTGCGGTCATCTTGAGAATTTCATGGTTGAAGGGCAAGTGGGTGAAGAAGTGGGCTGCGAAAGAGCTCAGCACTGGAATGCTGTCAGGCAGGGTAACCTGTAACCCATCAGTCACGTTACCGTGTGATCCAAGTAGTCGATACACTATCGTAGATTTTAGACAAAGACCTTGTTCGGTGCCATCCAAAGTAAAACATACTGACCGGTACAGTACCACGGTATGATAAAAGTTGGAATGAATGGCAAGCCAAATCTTGAGAAATCCAAGTCCTCACTTGGCCAACCACAAAATAAATGCGAGCCAAGAAAATCCTCACCCTAGCACACCTGTTGTGCTCACAGGGTCACTCGCACAAAATGAAGAGACATCAGTTTTTCAGTGAAGACAAAAAAAAGAAACCTTTTGAAACTTGAAGGGCAAAATGTATCATATCATAATATTATCATCATACACGCAACTCAATAATCCAAGATTCCACGGTATCATACTTGTATGATAAGCAAGTGAGCAAAAGCAGTCAGTCAGTCAGTCAGTCAGTCAGTCACGGGTTTACGATGGACCGTCGGAGGCGGTCATTCATCCATCATGTTTAAGCAACGTTATTATTAGGAAATCCTGGGTCAGCATTCGACCGACTGACCAATTCGTGAACAACAAGCAAGTAAACTTAGGTTAGCATGATAGCTATAGTTAATGTAAGTTAGTTTTGGGGGGAATGGTAAATTTGGTGAAACTATGAAAGGCGGACAATTTCACATCCAGGGATCCTTGTCTGGTGGATGTGGCTTGGCGCTTGACGTTCCCAGGCTTACTCATACTTTCCATGGGAGGTTCAACGGATAGTCTAATTACCCCGCGAAGATTTTTACTATACAAGTTGAAGAAACTATGATGAATGATGGGTAGGGCGGGTTAATCCGTCAGTCCGGGCCAGGGATTACTTTCCATACGCTGGGAAGCTAGGTTCTGGAAATCGCAGAACGTGCCTCCCCTGCTTTTCCTCGAGAATATCGTACCCCCCCCCCCGGGAATTGAATGCGGTCCCGTATGATACATATAGTAGCAGTTCTGCAAAAACTCCCCCCCAGGCTCGCTTGCCTCCGGGGAGATTCCTCGCCCAAGTAATCATAGATAGTCTACACACCCCGTGTTTCCGGAACTCTCTACTACCGGCCTGTACTACAAGATTCATCAACGATCACTCGTTTGGCGAGAGCACTTGTTGGTTACAGTACGGAAGTTTAGGAAGTCCCCCGCCCCCCGAGAGGAAAAAAAAAAAAAAAAAGGCAGAGTAAACCTACTTTCCAAAATTTCAGAAACTGTATGTTGATTCTGGAAATCCCTTGATCGTAAGGGGAGGGAAGCCGTCGATCATGAAACCTGCACGGGAGTTTTCGTCACTAGAGCGGTATATTTACAAGGTAACTCTATATATTGCCAGCAAGCAGGTACCGTGGACAGACAGGGGAGGGCTCATCTCGACTTTTCATCCACTGTCATTTGTCCGTCCATCCAACGGCTAGTGTGGAACGGTTCCTGGAGCTGGCGGTGTAAATGTGGGTGAAAGGGGCATTCGAGATAGTGTATCCCCAGGTGGGGGGTTACCCAGGTTGGGTTGAACTTTTTGTATTGATGCCAGTGGTACTGTATGATGCCAATAATAATAAAAGAACTATTTAGTCAGGCTGCTCCTGCTAACACTTTTTCCATATCGAGTGCGATCCCAAGGCTACTAAAGACCCTCGCGGGGGCTTTTTGTTCTCCCGCCAACGCAATATAAAATCCAATTCTTGACCCCCTCTCGTCTTCGTATTATTATTATCTTTATCACACATCGATCTGCAAGAACGGAAGTAGGGTTATTTTTGCTGTGGGCTGTATAATAGCGTCGGAATGGGATTTTGGGAAGGGGGTGGTGCGCTGTTGTTTGTCATATTCACCTCTGCTCAAGGAATCAGAGCGACTGGACCATGTGCGAGAAGGATATTGGAACTGCACTCCACACGGTTACGATAAAACTCGCTGGTATTTTCTCCATGTCTGCTTCAGCTGAAGGATGAATTCGAGACGTGTTCCCCCCCAACCCAACCTAAAGGACTGCTTAGCCCGAGCTCCGATCACTGCAGGTTTTCGCCCTATATTGTGGCTGTTAAGGTAGTCTAATTCAAGCAACATGGTAAAAAAAGTATCATACCGTATGAAACGCATTTCGTAAATCTCCAGGTAAAGCAAACTTGGTGTTCGCTCAATCATGCACTTTTCTGCGTCGCCCTACTCGAATACCGGTAGGGTACTTGTAACGTTAGAACACCCCTCCCCCGAAAACTAAATGTGCCACCGATTTCCAGCGGGTTATGGATTATCATGGCTTGTAAGTTTATCATGTAATCCTGCGATCGTCAAATGAGACCTCCCCCCGACAACCGTGTCGGTATTATAGGATATTCAGCCTGCCATAGCCCTGCCCGGTGCGATGGTACTAGTACAATTCTCCTTTCCAGTATCATAACCATCCCTCCTCGGAGTGGGATGCACAGCCCCCCCTAAAGTCGGCCAGGAGGAGGGGTTGGTGAGGTTGCAGTCTCCGCACCCCACAAAGATATGGGTGTTAAACACCGGTGTGTTATTATACTGCATGGTATAATGCCGTACGATACCGTTGCAATGCGCAGGAATTATCATAGAAGGCTCCTTGTGGAGCGTGGTAGACTATGATACAGTGCTAGTAGACTAGTGTCGAAGCGTCTTTAGAGGGAATCGCGTGCGACTCGGAATGCAAGCAAAAGTGCCAAAAACCTCGGTGGTACGTTATGCAACGGCTATAGTCTTCAAAGGGAGAAAGGGAGAGAGATCCCCACCTCGACATTGCGAGTATGATACCAGTATGATACAGTAGAGCCTTAAGTTTGTTAATCCACCACGAGAACAACGGTGTCCCACGTGATATGCGAATGCATAGTCCAGTACCGCACGATAAACATACAATATTTCCACATTCCACGAGTTTACAAGGCACAGCCATGCGCACGATATCCCCAGTCCCTCCAGCGCAGTAACAAGAACAGCGGCAGCGGCATCAAAATCCCATCATGCATATCATATCCACACACACACCCCTCACCTAACCATACCATACCCACAACCACGCGACGAAAAAGTTCCAAGGTTCATCACCGCTGTTGGCTCTCTCTCAGCTCTGGTCGGTCCTTCGGCGAAATGTTGTGTCAGTGAGGGATATTTATTACGGTAATTTTTTATTTTTTTCACCCAACTTATCCCCCAAAGAAAAAAATATTGTGCACCTAGCCTTGATTCACTAACTGTGCCGTGCGCCCGGGATAAGCATTCTTACCGCGCACCTAATCCGTCAGTGACTCCGGGCCAAGACACTTACAGTATCTGGAGTGTGATGTGGAAAGCGAGGCTGCCTACTTTACCTGTACGGTGTGATGCCAGCGGTGAGAGGGTTTTGGCTCTTCTCTTCACGAGTGCCTTGCGCCAAAAGGTTATCCCGTGCTAATGATGTTCTTGGGAGAGGGGTATCATGCGGTGGTGCTCCGGAAGAGGGCATCATCAAACGCCTTCTCATACTGTAACCGCTGCATCTGCGAGCACTACGAGCACGGTGCAGTGCCAGTTCAATCAGAGCGTGAATGGGCTATTGGAAGATGCAAGCTTCTGAGAGTGATCTCTTCCAAGCATTTTGCCTAATCTTTACCATCCCATCAGGGGGAAAGGCTCCACAACATTGTAGCTTGGTGGGAGAGAGAAAACCCCTGCACAGTATCCTCGATTGAGGTATTTCCCCCTCCGGGGCAAAAAGCTTGTTCACTCACTTTAACTTATTTTGCACAGCCTCCGGCCCCAAACAGAATATGATATGATACAAGTACTGTACTCGTACAAGTACAGTACAAGCACACCAGACCCAGATGAGGATTACCACTCAAGCGCAACTAACCTACCCAACCACCAAAGTGCCGGGAGTTTCACTCGGAACACGGCATACCGGCACGCGCACCTCGCTGCACTGTACAGTAGGAGCAACTCTACTCGAGTACCAGAAGGCATGGGTTGGCATACCCCGACCCCTTCCTAGACATGTTCAATGAGGCTCAGCTACCCCCGCCCAATAAACTCGAAGCGAGACTTGGAGGACACGACGCGTCACTCGGAATTCGTAGCGACCGGATCTAACGGCTTCAGCTCGCGGTTATCCCTCACAAAAAGGCTCGTCCAGAGTACCACGGAAGTGAAAGGGTGAAAGTGACGTTACCTCCACTGCTGGCTGCCCGCCTCTTGCCAATCGCCAAGCCCCAGCCACACCCGGAAAATGGCTTCTTGCAGGACAACACCAAAACACAACGTGGGAGAGGGGAAAGAAGGAAAGAAGGAAAGCAGGGCGGTAAGAGAAGATGGAACGAGGGAAAAATAAGAAAATAAAAAATGTGTGGGGTGGTCCTATATCAGCATGGCCTACCAAGCAAGAGAATGGATGTTAAAGATCCAGGTGCACCACCTGTGGGTGAGTTGTTGGTTGGTTCTTAAATCTTCAACACCAATCCTTCCACTCGCCTGGAGAGAGAGAGAGAGAAACATAGAAGGGTTCTGCCCACTGCACTGGAAGTGCTCTATTATATTAAATGGCTTCCTTCGTCCGCCATCCCACGCATCCTTACAATCGGCATTCATACAACCCAAATCCCCCCCATCAATACGGTCGGGACATGGAGATGCAACAACCCCTGAACGGTGGGCGGGATCATGGGAAGATTGAGAGGGATGTCACTTCGCCAATACCGGACCCCGAGATGACGAGACCGGGGAGGCGTGGTTGCAATCCTTTCCGCGCTTTCGTTATCATGTTGAGGAGCTCAAGCAGTTTGGGCGCTTGCACCAACGTTTGTCCAACAATTCCACCCTCTTCTCCTTTGCAATAGCGTACAAGCGGTGGGCTGATGGTGTTTAGGTCCTCCTACCCTTCGTACCTGTTGGCTTGTTGCTTCACTGGTGGAAGCCCGATCTGCATTTATGGATATTTTTGACCAATTATCTAGCTATGATCCCCATGGCGAATTTGTACGCTTCCGTTGCGGTAGTGTTTATATTGATGCCCTACTAACGCTGGTCCAGACTAGCCTTCTCGAGCGCCCAATTTTCTCGAAGGCTCCCGAGAGTGCTTGGTGTGATAATCCAACTTACTTTTGCTTCTTCCGTCGAGGTCATTCTATGCCTCGTGCTGCTATTCAAGGTAACCCGATACTCCCCTCTGGCAAGCGCGTCTAACAATGACAGAGCCAATTCCAAGTCATCCAAGCGGCTCTCCTGGGCAGTATGTTGGCCAATCTCCTCCTCTGTACGGGCCTCTGCTTCATCGTCGGCGGGATCCGCACGAAAGCGCAAGAGTTCAGCGAAACCGTGGTAGAAACTGGCGGCGGATTGCTCCTAGTCAGCGTGGCATCCTTGATGCTCCCATGCGCCTTTTTTGAGTCAGTATCCGCAATGGGCCGCCTCCCCCAGGACGAGCTCGATCACAAGGTCCTCCACATATCTCGCTTCTCGGCGGTACTACTTCTGATAGCCTACGTCACGTATCTCTTCTTCCAGCTCGCCACTCATCACTCCGAGTTTGACCAGGCACTCTACGAGAGCGAGCAGAGGAACAAAGACCGGGCAGACAATATCCGCCGGGAAAACCTAACAATTGGCGAGGCGGCCTTTTTGACATTCATGAGTTTGGCATTCGTCACGCTGCACGCCGTGTTCCTAGTTGAACAGATTCATTGGATTGTCTCGCATAAACATGTTTCCGACGCCTTTATGGGCTTGATCCTGGTGCCGCTGGTGGAAAAGGCTGCCGAGCATCTCAAGGGAATCGACGAAGCATGGGATGGTAGATCACCCCCCCCCTCCCCCCTCCATCGCTTAATTGACACTCTGCTCCTCCAGACGCAATGGACTTTGCACTCTCCCACCTCCTCGGCTCAACAATTCAAACCGCCCTACTCGTCTCCCCGATAATAGTCCTAGTCGGCTGGGCAGCGCACAAACCCTTCAACCTCAACTTTGAAGTCTTCATGGTCATCGCCCTGGTCTTCTCTGTCCTCATCGTGGGGAACTTTATCAAGGATCGGAAGAGCAACTACCTGGAAGGCGCGCTGTGCGTCATATTTTACATCATGATTGCGTATGTTTCCCCGCTCCCCCACAACAAGGCGTGGTAGTAACGGACTTATAGCGTGACAACGTGGTATTATCCGAGCCCGGAGGGTATGGAGGAGGAACATTAGGGGTTGGGCTTAATTTTTCTTATCCCAGGAGTTGGTGGGCTTTTTTTCTTCCTCTTCTTTCAATCGTGAGGGTATGGCATAGCCTATCATTTGTGGTTGGAGCGAGTTTCTTGTGCAAATATACCCAGCTTCAGTTTCTGCTCTTTTCCCCTTTCTTTTTTTGTTTGATATCAGGTGACAATATGGATTGTACACCCTTTTTTTGTAGGGGGATTAATAGGAATCATAGCATGTCACTCGTGTTTGGAAAACATAGCAAGAACCAAAGAAAACATGACATGAATGGAAAAGAACAGTTCAGTAGAGGCAGAAAACCACCACGGCCGCCTCCACTAACCGACACGAACCAGACAAGAAGTATTCGCGCGCAGTACAGTACCTTTAATAAATATCGGCCCACCCATGATTGCCCAACGACGAGCGAGAAGACGAGAAGCCCCCAAAAGATGAAGAAGCACATGCAACAACGAAGGGCTTCCCCATCTCCACGGACCGCAACCCCCATCCAGCGAGCGAGATATCGCCAGAAGAAGGGAAAATGGCGACTCTACCAGACGGCCCTATCCCACCGGCTAGATCTAGAAGAGCGGCGGGCGGTTGCCCACGGGCCCAAGGTACCGCACCACACCGTGCCGTATGACCCACAGTGCAATCCCAATCGTGGATGTCACGTGAGGTCGGTGCATAGGATAGGATAGTATAGACATAACCCGTCCTCTATGAATTCGGAGTGCCCCTCCCGTTATGATAAAAAGGATTCCGCATATCATACACACTCCGGTCTTACCACACCCGTACCGCACCGTTGACTCAGGGGAGTTAAGGATGAGATGGAGGTTCTCACTAGCTTTTTTTTTTAAAAGTCCCGAGCGAAACACTCTCTCCAATTCACCGTGAGGGTCTAGAGATTTGTTTTCGTCGCAGCAGCGATATCGTATTCTCAAGTGATCAGGTCCGACGTCCTTTGAAATTCATGGCTCTTTTCTTCTTCTTCCCGTACCGAGTCCGCATTGAAATTGCCTCCAGTTATATCGCTACTACTATTCTGAACTCGCATGGTAAAGCAGATACCAGCATCAATCAGCATTGCTCTAGCGCCAAGCCTCCGAGCAATAGCACTTTCCGCAGGGCCGTTAATTTAGTTCCACAGTAGGATGGGTGCCATGGTCTGCCGGCGCGATTGGAATCGGAGTAAAACTATGCTAGTAGTATCAGCTTCTCACGTCAGTTTTTTTTTTCTTTCTTTTTTCCCCCTCGGGGAGAATGCGCGATACATCTATCGTACCGGACTAAGCTCGAGGATGGAGTTTTCGGCCACCTTGACACAACAGAAACAACGCCGAATTGTCTTCTATTTACAACTCCCATTCAAACATACATGCTTCCATCTGTGCCCTTTGCAATAATTTTCATGTTCTTAATGCTTCTTCCCCGTCCAGTGGCCTTTTTGCCTTTGCCTGCGCTTTCTTCTCCGCAATTCTGACCTTCTGCGCATCTGACTCTGCCCGTGCCTGAACCTCTGCATCGAGTGAGCGCTTGATACTATCTACATTTGCAAATACTGTGTTTGGGTCTAGAATAATCTTCTTCCTCTTCTTCTGCTCCAACTCCTCTAGGCGATGTTGTAGTTGTTGGTTGCTGGCCTTTAATTGGGCCTGTTGAACGGTAACCTCACCAAGAGCTTTCCCAACTTTCTGAAAAGCCATTCTCTGATCTCTAGTCATCGGACCTAGTGTTTTTAAGTGCTTCGTGGATGTCGTGGGGATGTTTTGGTGTATGAAAAAAGTGCTCACTATTCTCTGTTCGTAGACGCTTTGGTGTAGAAGGTGGTGAAGATGTATGTGAGCATGATTGGTAACCAATATCAGGTTGGGCTATGGTTTGGTGCACTTGGGAAGATTTGAGTGCTTTATCAGGATTCCATGGGTAGAGGCCTGCTGTGGACCACCCTGCGCACAAGGTACGGGTTGTGAAGATCTCCTCTCGTGCCTGTTGATAGGCTTGAATAAAGCGACGCTTTTTTACTGGCGCCTCATAGTCCAGGTGTGCAAGATCCATGATTTCCTTACGATATTGTGACTTCAGAGGAGAGAAGATGCCCAAATCCAAGGGCTGTAACACATGACTAGAATGGGCTGGAAGATAGAGGATGTTAATCTGATTTTGTTTGCACATCCACATGAATTCGATAGTTGCATGGCTGCCATGTCTATCCAAGAGCAAGATACGATGAGTGATTCGACTATTAGGCAGGAGGCAGGCATTCTTCGGCAGAAACACTTCCGATAGCCATCGCAGTCCAATATCATTTGACGTCCATCCTTTAGAAGTAGTTGTAATTAGCCAATCTGGTATGTTTTCAGCAGTCAACCATGATGTCTGTAGATCTTTGCCTTTAAACATAATCAACGGGCGAATAGAGGAACCGGAAGCATTTATTGCCTCAATCACAGAAACCCACTCACGATTCTCAGGTGATTGGATATAGGGTTTCCATTTTCCACTCGCTCCCAGCACAACTGTATTGCTGCAAACACCTAGGGCGATCCCATGCTCGTCCATATTCCAAACATTGCATTGCTGAGTATTGTGACTTGCCCGAGTAGTGTCGAACCGGTCATAAAACTCCTGAATCTGATGAGACTGGGTGCCACGAATATGGGCGGATTCAATAGGTCTTCCAATCATACTCGCAATCTCCAGATTTCGCTTCATAAACATAGGAACCTACTTTTGTCCAAGCAGCTTAGTGTCTCCTGCGAAGGACAAGATCAAAGCAGCCATTTCCCTTATTTGTGCATGTGATGGAGCATATCCACAGGCTTCCTGCTGGATAATCCAGTCACATAGTGATCACTCTTGCTCTGGAGATAGTCGCTGTTGATAATGATGCCCAACTTGCGCACTGGACCCACCAGCCCGACAACTTTGGAGAGTAGAAGGAGAAATTCCATACTCTTTAGCAGCCCCCCGCTCCCAGGTGCCATTGCGAATGGCTTCAAGGGCTAAGTCAATAGCGTTCTCGCGAATACTCATTGTGCTTTGGTCATGCGATGAGAATATTTTGCGCTTGATCATGGTTGCCACGGTGGCCGAAAACCCCATCCTCAAGCTTATGATTACCGGGGAGAAATGATTTATCACAGTACTGTACCGTTCCGTGGACAGCTCCTCTCTCCTTTCGAGGAGGATCGATCGAAGGTGTTGTACATAATCATTCATTCTGATTGGTTGGTTTATTTCTCTCTCTCTCCCCTGCTCGTAGGAAGCCAGTTGATGACGAAAACAAACTTCCTTCCTTCGTTCCTGAATCGAAAGGGAAATACTTCGGCATCATCCTATGGGGCATCTACTGTAGATTGTGATGGACTATGTCAACAAACTTTCACAAGAGAAAAGAGAAAAAGAGAAAAAGATCCGTCTTGGTGTGTGTGTGTGCGTTTGGAAAAAGGGAGGAAGAAAAAAAAAAACAGTCCTTCAACTAACAGCAAAGTTTATCCCAGATCAAGCTAGCGCGAGAAACCTCATGACCAACAGACCATGAGAAAGAAAAACGATGACTTTTTTAAAAACAGTGCTGTATTTACCGAGGGGGGCAGACATTTCGAATTAATCCACCCCGGAGATGGGATGAAACCCCTTCCTTCGATATCATACTATACCGTTTTTTGACAATTTCTTTTCGGTTTTTTTTTTTTTCGTCCATCGTGTTCGAAATGGACGAGATCATGTGATATCACTCGGTGTAAGTCCTTTTTTTTTCCCCTCCAAGGTGGCATTCACAAGCGTGATAAGAAACTCAATTCCCCCCTCCTCTTCCTCCTTCATCCGTTGAGGGAAAAACATGGCCCGAATATAGCTCATTCTATGCAGCGCGAGAGAAACAAGTCGTAATGCGCTAACCCCGTCCGTCCCCATCGGGACTGTATGCGCGCTTGACGACGAGCACATACCGGTATCATACTCACATCATCGCCTTATCCATCGAGTCGTGATGTGATATCCCTTGTTATGATACTCCTAAAAGGCTGAATAAGTGTTATAGAAATAATATCCTGTTGTTCGCGAGTGTCCAAACTCAACTTGCCGGGTGGGAATATCTGCCGTTGGGCACTTGGTATATGATTCAATGCTCAAATTATGGCGTATGATAGTTTCTTTCTTTTCTTTTCTTTTCTCGTTTTAGACGCTATAGCTGTTTCTCTGCTTTTTTCTGGTTTTGTATATAATGGATCCGTCTCCCCACCCAGTTCAGTTTTTTTTTTACCCTCTTCTTTTCCTCGGGGTTGGTTGGAGTTTTTCTTTGTGAGTACCTTTCTTTCCGCCATTATTTCTCGTTTTGAAGTATGTGGCTAACGAGTTGGTTGTGTAGGTTGGAACGGCGTCCGTTTTCTCCTTTTTTTTTTTTCACACACCTCCGGCGCAGGAAGGAGTATGCACGATTGGATAGAATAGATGTGGGGGGAGGTGTTATGCTCCGCATCATGGCGCTGGGTAAATAGTGAGTGAGTACGACACCTCCACTTCTCGAGCGTACTCGAACTGACGAGCGGCATCATAGGTATCATAGGTATGATAGGTTGGACGGCGTTGGTCTCCTTGCACTATCCTGTACGAGTATCATACACGTGTATCCTAGCGGTACACCCTCCTCCTTCTACGCCCTAATAATCATAATCGTAATTTCTAATCAAGGCTGCGGGATCCGATCGAGTTTGTGGTTGGCGTTGGTATTGGAGTTGTCTGGTCCGCGCCGTCTGCGGTGGGATCAGCAAATTGGAGATCTTGAATCTTTATCGGGGTGAACGGTGTTGTTATATTATAAAATATAATATCCTTTCTTCGTTTCCTTCTATAGTACCTCGGAATGGACCCTCTGGAGGGCGGCACGGAGAGGACCATAAGAGAATGGCGGCAATATCACATCAAGGCCCACAGAACGAGATGTGTACCACGTGTCCAAAGCGACATTAATATTATTGGGAGGGGGGAATAAGGAAAGGAAAAATCAATCGTCTGGCATAGACAATCCACAATGATCCCACCGCAGGAATTGGGTTTACCACTATAGGCGGGGGAATTCGGCGCTCTCATCATCGCTGGAGGGTGCAATAGTGTCATTCATGGCCTGTAGGCCATCCCGCGTCCTACCACGTAAGCGCCTTCCGATTCCACTCCTGGAGCCATGATGAACGCTCAGTTTAGAGCCCGGCCCCGGAAAAACCCCCAGATAGCAACTCATGCACTCTGGCCGAATGCAGGGTGGGAGTCACCGAAAATCACTCGTCATTTGGCTCAGTCCTGCTGTTGGAGATATATCCGCACACGTACGTATCATATATCAGCATCACACACGATAGCTCAACGCGCTAGCTCCGAATATTTTCTCCCTTTTTTTATATCTTCCCCCCTTCCTACACTTTACCCCTGTCGAACACTTGACAGACTTCCCTCCTCAAATCATTTCCCATTTCCAACGCCTGCGCAGTGTGTTCCCGTCCACCCGTTTCTATAAGGAAGTGAAGAGCTCACCGCCGCTCTCGGTGCATATCCCCCGAACGAGAGGGGGGGGGCTTATATAAAGATGAGATATCGCCCCCTCTCCCATCCGCCAGAACTTGTTCAAAAACCAAGCGCATCGAGCATTCCACCCACACACCTTCCACCACTCCTGTCAAACGACCTATGCATGCCGAGGACAGGCGGAGCCGTTTGTCTTTTAAAAAAGTCGCGATGGACCGGAAGTTACTCCCGGTGGTAAGCGGTACGTATGCTGGGTTCCATCACACCGCGGGGATATTTGTTTCCTTCCTTCCTTCCTTCCCCCCACCCCCCCGCCGGTGCAGAGCACGGTGCATCCGATACAACGTAAACAGACCAGTACATCGTAGGATGTATCATGTTCAAACGCGCAAACGCGGCCGAGGACGGGGGCGCAACGCAAGACTCACGAATTCTCACTCATTCAACAGCCTCCCCCCCTGCCGCCCGCTGCTGTAGTATCATACAACGCCCGGAAAAAACGTACTATAACCGGCACTCACGCAGAAGCCAGCCTGCAAACGCGATGAAATCAGCCCACCCCCCCTCCCAATTACCTGAACCGCCACCGTCCCGACGGCTCAGCCTTCCCCCCCATCGAGGATGGGTAGGGTACGATACGACGTTGCTCCTCCAAAGGAAAAAAGAAGAAAAGATAGCAATCAAGGCAGAATATCAGTCGGCATGATACGATACCAGCGGGAGGACATCACGGAAATAAAAAATAAATATAAAAAAAAGTAAAAAAAATATATATATATATCAAGAAATATCAACCACCCGAGTGATCGTACATGACTCGCTTACCTCACCCACCCACACACCCACACACCTTTTCCACAGCTATCATAGCACTGGGGGAGAGGGGGGCCAATGCGCTCCTACAACCCAGCTTCCGGCACAATCCGCCCCCACACCACACCCCCCCCCAGTCGAACGCGCCCGCACACCCAATAATTGTTCACAACCGTCAAACACACGACCCCCGCCCAACAAATATCAAAACGAACCACCCATCCATCCCCCTCGCTCGCAGCCTAAAAATAAATAGAACAAATTAAAAAAAAAATTTAAAAGGGAAAGAAAAAGGAAAAAAAACGCCAAGTCCCACAGTCATTTATTCTCGAGTGATATGTTGTGATGGATTGCCGGGAAGGAGGGAGACTGCAGAAGCGCGTGCGAAAAAAATTCATCATGAGTTTGTGCATGATACACACACAAAGCCATCACAAGGCACAGGTAATACCGCCAAGTGCTTCATTTTCTTTTACCTGGAGTCAAAAGATTGGTCCTTCCTTCGTAGGTAGATATGGTATAATCGATGATTATTATATAGCCTCGCTCTTCTTTTTTTTGCTTCCCTTTCCCTTTTCCAAAACATTCCTTGCCATGCCTCGCCCGCCCTTGTCCCACGAGGTGAATGACACCCGATATATGATGATACCCACAGCGATAATACTACTACAATATCCCTCCCTCCCCTCCTCCTCCAAAGGAACGTGCGCTATGCTAATAAACATGCAATACACCACTTCAGAACGAACAAGCGAGAACCATGTGATATGCTGCGATATGATATGACTCGATAATAAAAATTTTCCATCCCTACAGAAAAATAGAATAAAAATCGAAGTAGGATAAACGATAAATGAAAGGATATAAAAATAATAATATAAAAGAAATTTCAAAAAGAACGCAGACACAAGCATCGAAACGGTAAAGGGTAATTTAAAATCCAAAACCGGAAGAGTGGCCAAAAGATGAAAAGGAAAAAAAAAATTTAACGATACAAAGAAAAGGGAAGAAAAAAGTCGAAGTCAAAGGTTCTCAATCATCACACTAAATGAGAGTACATGTTGGTCGAACGATATAAAAAAGTTTCATGCAAAAAAAAAAAAAAAGATAGCAATGTGGTGGGCAGAAACAAAAATAAACGAAAAGAGCCCATTAAAAAACTATAAGTCAGTTCTTTCCGCGTCCCTACTCTCTCAGTTTAACAAAAAAGATATTCGTCTCCAAAATGTATTCCTCTAATGACCCCAAAATCTGACTGTTAAAAATTACCCCGTAATTACGTCCCTCGAAATACCCCTTTTAATGCATATTGACATCTTCCTCGGCCCACCCGATGCCATTCCCCATACCATTATAACCATTAACGCCAAGCCCAATCTGGTTCTGCTGACCCAAAACCGGCATGCTCAATGCACGGTTATGCTGCCCTCCAACCCTCAGGTTCTGGTTTTGAATACCCATACCTGCAAGTCCCAATCCGTTCGCTCCATTATGGGTTTGACCCAGCCCCTCGACAGCCGCAGTAGCGGCCTGACCGGAGGGGTCAAGCTGGGAACCAGATGGCTGGCCATAGACAGCCGCCGCCTGAGCAGCAGCGAGCTGCTGTTGGAGATTAGAAGCATACATGGCCGCTTCTTGCTGTTGTTGCTGTTGAGAAAGATACGCCTGGAGAGGGTTCGCAGCAGCACCATTGTTGAGCATGTGCTGAACGTTTGGGGTTGTCGGAGTTCCAACATTGTTGGGACTATTGGAGTTGTGCATGCCAGATGGGCTAAGCTGAGCTGGACTTCCTCCGGATCCCGACTGAGACAAACTAGGCTGAAGGCCACCAGATGGAGGCCCATTTACCGGGCTGGTGCTCGGCAAGGGCGGATGGCCAGCAGATGTTGGGGTGCCAGACTGATGATTGTTTGTTGTCTGTCTAGGCGGGTTGCCGCATCTGTCCTTTCCGAAATTGATCTTGAAGCGCTTGTACTCCTCTCGCCCTCGTACAGCTTCGATTGCCTTGATGGCATTCGCAATGTTGGTGAAGTTGACAAACGCGCAACTTTTCTCCCTCAATGCATTTACCAGCTCAATCTCTCCATACTCCGAGAAATCTTGTCGGAGACGCTCCTCGCTCCATGATTCATCCAGGTTCCCAACATAAACGTTCCTGCTTGCACCACCCGAAACTGCAAGAGCAATAGCGGGGGGAAGAGCACCAGAATGCTTACCCCATCCAATCTTAAGACGACGGTTATGAATCATCAGCCCCTGGAGATTCGACAGAGCATAAAAGCTCGCCGCGGCAGTGGGATCGATGAAAGTGACAAAGCAAATGTGCTTGTCGGGGATATAGCGGATGTGATGCAGAAGCCCACCACGCACAACGTTACAAATCTCCTCGATGGTTGTTTCCGGATGAATGTTGCCTAGGTAAACAGTTCGGTTCCCCAGGTTGTTCATCCCGCCGGCTGAAGTTGCGACTGCCGCCGCGGCTACAGATTGCTGTGCAAGTGCTGAAGAGATCATCTCCCTATCAGCTCCATTGAGCACATGGGCATACCCGGGGGCGATTCCAAGGTACTGGGCAGCATTCTGTTGCTGGGTCTTGGAAACATAGGCACATCTATCCTTTCCATAGTAAACACGACGAGGAGACTGCCACTTGGCCTCCTGGGGGAGTTGAGAGACAGCCTTGATGGCATTGCCAATGGACAAAAAGTGTACGAATCCAATAGCCTTCTCACGAACAATTTTGACAGTATCAATAGGTCCGAACTTTCCAAGATCCTCCCTAAGTTCCTCTTCACTCACATCCTCGGGGAGATTCCCGAGATACACATTACGGGAAGCACCCGACTGCTGCACGGCGAGAGCTACCGAAGTCGGCACCTGGGAAGGCTTTCCCCAACCAACCTTGACGTCCTGGCCCCTAATGGAGAGCTTCTTCAAGATCGCATCCGAGTGAAAATGGTTGGCGGAAGAGCTGTCAAGAAACGAGATGAAAGCACAGTTCTTGTCGGGCAATAGACGTACAGACTCAATTTGACCCGAGCGCACGTGACCAAGAATTTCTTCCGCAGACGTCTCGGGTGGAATATTACCAAGGTACACAGTGCGCGAGGTCCCTGCAATCATGCCAGGTGTTGCAGCCAACGGAGAAGTAGCGGTGGGCGAAGATTGCTGGTAGTAGGTAGCGTACTGCTGGTTGAAACCCGTCGGTGACCCTAGCCCGTTGGCGCCGAATGTTGGCGAAAGAGGGTTCCCGGATGTTGGAGTCTGCTGGAATCCGTGCATAGGAAAATTGGGAGACGCAAAGGCATTGGGCGTACCGGGTTGAAACGGGGAGAGGAGATGGGACGGAATCAGTTGAGTGAACTGCATATCGTATCCAGTTCCTGGGGAAGCCATGCCGTTGTCCCCTCCATGAGGAGCCCCAGTGTTGATCGACGGCATATTTATGCGGCGTCTGTTGGGGTGATTGACCGAATCAGTGCTAAATCCAGCGGGCATAGACATCTGTTCTCCGTTCGCACGATCTGCTGACGATGATTTCGAAAGGGGATGGGGTAATCTGGTCGTTTGTACAGATTCACTGTGCATCGCTCCTTCTAGCGAACGCGGTAGGACAAACCTGTCCAAGTGAGGAACTTGCAAGACAGCCGTGGTGATAGATTTGAAGATGAATCCGGTGTATTATTTCTGGACGCGTATGGAGGCTTCTGTTACTGCTGGAGACGGATGAGGTAGCAGAATACGGCAAGTTATCGAACTGTTGTTGGTAAACCGGGAGATTTCAATGTTCCTGACAACCTGCTTGTCAGAGG